TGACCACGGCTGATCATGATCGATGATGGTGGAGAAGGAGAAGGGAGGGAGGAGGAGGTGGAGGAGGTGGAGGAGGAGGTGGAGGAGGGAGGAGGAGGTGGAGGAGGTGGAGGAGGAGGTGGAGGAGGGAGGAGGAGGTGGAGGAGCAGGTGGAGGTAATTATAGATTTGAAGCTTTCATGACTGCAAGGAGTCATCCTCTTTGGTTTCTTCGGTAAAGTCACGTAGGTAAAACAAATCTAATTAAATAAATGAAAACAACTAAATTAAATTACGACGTTTCGGGCGCAACACAAGCGTCCTTATGAATGGTGGAGGTAGAAGAGGTGGAGGAGGAGTAGGTGGAGGAGGTGGAGGAGGTGGAGCAGGAGGAGGAGGTGGAGGAGGTAGAGGAGGTGGAGGAGGAGGTGGAGTAGGAGGAGGTGGAGGAGATGGAGGAGTAGGAGGAGGTGGAGTAGGAGGAGGTGGAGGAGGTGGAGGAGGTTTTAGTTGGAGGAGGTGGAGGAGTAGGAGGAGGTGGAGGAGGAGGTGGAGTAGTAGGAGGTGGAGGAGGTGGGGGAGTAGGAGGAGGGGGAGGAGGTGGAAGAGGAGGAGGTGGAGTAGTAGGAGGTGGAGAAGGTGGAGGAGTAGGAGGAGGGGGAGGAGGTGGAAGAGGAGGAGGTGGAGTAGTAGGAGGTGGAGGAGGTGGGGGAGTAGGAGGAGGGGGAGGAGATGGAAGAGGAGGAGGTGGAGGAGGTGGAGGAGGTGGAGGAGGTGGAGGAGACAGTGGAGTAGGAGGAGGAGGAGGTGGAGGAGGTGGAGGAGGAGGAGGTGGAGGAGGTGGAGGAGGTGGAGGAGACAGTGGAGTAGGAGGTGGAGGAGGTGGAGGAGGTGGAGGAGGAGGAGGTGGAGGAGGTGGAGGAGGTGGAGGAGACAGTGGAGTAGGAGGAGGTGGAGGAGGTGGAGGAGGTGGAGGAGGAGGAGGTGGAGGAGGTGGAGTAGGAGGTGGAGGAGACAGTGGAGTAGGAGGAGGTGGAGGAGGTGGAGTAGGAGGTGGAGGAGGTGGAGGAGATGGAGGAGGTGGAGGAGGTGGAGGAGGTGGAGGAGTAGGAGGAGGGGGGAGGAGATGGAAGAGGAGGGGGAGGAGGAGGTGGAGTAGGAGGAGGTGGAGGAGGTGGAGGAGGTGGAGGAGGTGGAGGAGGAGGAGGTGGAGGAGGTGGAGTAGTAGGTGGAGTAGGAGGTGGAGGAGACAGTGGAGTAGGAGGAGGTGGAGGAGGTGGAGGAGGAGGTGGAGGAGGTGGAGGAGGTGGAGGAGGAGGTGGAGTAGGAGGAGGTGGAGGAGGTGGAGGAGGTGGAGTAGGTGGAGGAGGTGGAGGAGGTGGAGTAGTAGGAGGTGGAGGAGGTGGAGGAGGTGGAGGAGGAGGTGGAGTAGGAGGTGGAGGAGGTGGAGGAGGAGGAGGTGGAGGAGGTGGAGGAGGAGGTGGAGTAGGAGGTGGAGGAGGTGGAGGAGACAGTGGAGTAGGAAGAGGTGGAGGAGGTTGAGGAGGAGGTGGAGTAGGAGGTGGAGGAGGTGGAGGATGAGTAGGAGGTGGAGGAGGTGGAGGAGGAGGTGGAGTAGTAGGAGGTGGAGTAGTAGGAGGTGGAGTAGTAGGAGGTGGAGGAGGTGGAGGAGGTGGAGGAGGAGGTGGAGTAGGAGGAGGTGGAGGAGGTGGAGGAGGTGGAGGAGGTGGAGGAGGAGGTGGAGGAGGT